TTGTTCTTTCTGATTTTCTGCTGTCCAGTCCATCTTTCTTTCACCATCCTTGGCTGATGTTCGTGCTCGTGTTCAACATGAAAGCCACATGGGAAAAAAATTATATCCGATGGCCATAAGTTGGGCATAAATTCACAGACACACACGTGTATGTATGTATATATGTGAACGTTCCGAGTACTAACTTCTTTCCTGCCGTTTTTTCACTTGCATGCCACTTGAGTAATTAAATTTAGCATCGGCGAAAGAGGGGGCTGTTGCGGCCAATGGGCGTGGCATTAACTCTTTTGTGGCTTGACATTTTTGCGGTTAAATGAATTTAAAACGCGCAGTGCAGCGCACAACTTCACAGGTGCCAAATGACAACAACAAATTGCCCGATTGCCTTCGCTCCTGGGCAAACGTGTTGTCCTTTCCGCTCCTGTCGATGACGATGTCGACATATGGAAATGCTGATGGATGCATTTTGGGCGCGGCCAGAAATGCGAGACGAATATGCTGCCCATTGATATGCAAATTGAAAAGACAACTGAAACAACATAACGAGCAGAGACACACAGAAGCGGAAATGTATTTGTGGATATTTATGAACGAATATTACCAAGTCCCCAGGCAGAAACAGGTTTTCAAATTTCTGAAGTTTCATATACAAATGGTTTAAGCAAATTGGTGAAGTAATGGTAAGAAATTATTCTTATAAAAATAATGAGGCAATGAACGAAATTATAAAACTTCTTTGATTTTTAATATAATTTGTTAGCTTTAACCAGAGTATAGAGACTAGAAAACCCAAATAAATTAATGAAATACTTTGGCGTATTTTAATATACCTTCATTGCCTTAAGTTTCTGTTACCTTCCGGTTTTTTATTGAAAATATTTTCGGTTCGCTTAACCAACATTCAACTGCCTCTGATGAACTTAAACTGACATGGCTGGCATTTAATTCCCGCTGTCTGCAGCATCGTACACGTTTCTCTGCCTATTTTAATGTAATTTATTTCCAGCTGTAATTGTTGTCGCGGAAAAAGTTAAAATGAAAATAAAAATCGTTTAAAATCGTATGCAAATTGTTTCTTTAATTGAATCATTTAAGGGCAGCGACAGTTCGAAACGACGACATTTGACATTTAAAATTTATTTTCAATAATTTGCGCTTATCGCAAGATTATTATAATTAAAATAGAACCATAAAAATCCCCAATAAAAAAATGAAATTATTATATGAACTATTGAGTACGTGATCACGAGTTTTTTAAAGTGTTTGTTTTTTGCACAATTTAAACAGGTAAAGTAAAAGTGCAGGATTAGTAAGATTCATAAGAAAGGTAAAAAACTTTTTTTTATCAGCACAAACTAAGAGGGATTAACCAACCATCTTTTGCTCAGTTAAGGCTTAAACCCACACAATAACCCCATCTTTTGTACCTGGCCAGCCCTTTTAATTTTGTACAAACGGATATGTGCAAAAAAAGACACTCTTTTACTACTCCAACCTGCAGAAACTAAAAACATAGAAAGGTAAACTAAAAAGCTTTCCGTCGTCAACTTTCTAGGCAAGTTGCATCTCTGCATGATAAATGCGGTTTTTGATGTTTCCATTTGAGATGTAAAGGATTTGCTGACAGAGTGCGGTCCTGTTTGCGTTTGTGTGTGTGCGTGTGTGTCTAAATTGTGTGGGGCTTTTAAGGAGTGACAAAACAAAACGCGAAATGCTTCATTTGTTAGAAAAACAGGAAAAGAAATTTCTTGACTCCGAATCCAACAACCTAAATAAAAGTTTATTCAACTCCCGCACTTCACAGTCTGTGATAACAAAACATGTAAAAAAACAAACACTTTAATTCTTATGCACAACCAAAAGACCGTTTAATGTTTCAATACTTGAAATAATGTGCTCACAAATTCTTTCAGCTTAAGTTTATTGTCTGGTTTTTTTAAATCACCTACTTCTATAAATAATTTTCTGGCAAGCTTAGTTAACACCTTTGTTTCTGGCATTTAGCCAAAATTTCTAGCCGAAAATTAACACTTAGTATCTTAGTGAAACCCATCTAGGATTGTTGCCAATTGTGTTGTCAAGTGTGTACGCAAGATTAACTTAAAAGTTACTTAACCCACTTGACTCTTTGGTAAATATAATTATTTTTTAAATTTGCACATACTTCTGAAATTACTTAAACTCTAACTTAAAGATGTTCGCCATTTAAAATTATTTGTTGGAATCCACCCACGGTCTTCTTTTCATTCAATATTCAAACTTCTCCTAGGCTTAGTGAAAATGAAATTGAAATGATTCTTGGATTTGCCCTTCCTCCTTGTTTGGATTTTCGCTGCTGGCGAGTCTCATATTCCCACGTGGAACATGTGGGAGAAACTCATTCGCGTAGTACCAATTATCGTGATACTAGGGCAGTTGTATCTGGTGGATTCGTTTCACTGTTTGCTGCAGTGGCCGCCGGGGATCCTTGTTCTTGTTGTGATTGGTACTGTCACGGCAACTGCGATGGACACACCAGCTCGTCACACACTCGCACACTCGGATATGGCCATATCGCTCCACGGAAAAATCAGAAGACCCGCCACCAAACGTTCGCATACGTGGCTCTGGCTTTTTCCGATGCTCTAACTTCTCAGTTTTTTCTTTGTTTTCACTGCTTGTACGTTCTACGTGATGTTAGAATTTCACTTTTGTTACAACGCGCTGCTAGACAATTGCAACATATTGTTGCGCTTCGTTCCACGGCGTCCCCTTCATTTATGGAAGCGTTTTTCACGTTGTTTTTCAACGGTATTTTTCCGATTTTCCTGCCTTGTTTTGTTCTGTATTTTGATGTGCTTGGTGACAGTGGACGGAAAGTCCTGAAGTGAAGGAGTGAATGTGAAGGATATGAAATAAGCTGTTATGCTCTTAATTGGAAATCTAGTGCCTGCTATTCTCTTACGTGTTGTTTAACTAACCACCAGGCAAAACCAATCAATTGAATTTATTTAAATTTAACATTTTTAAAATTGTAAAGGGGGATTAAAGTTGTATTTAAAGCAACTTCCTAAAACTTTATTCGCTTCCGATGAAAATGCTCAACAGCTGAACTCAAAGCTCACTAAGATAAGCTTTGAAATTCATTTGAAATTTATTAAAAGTAAAGTCCCCTCCCGTCAGCCATTTTCTATTTCCTGTTTCTCTATCTATCACCCACTAATCTGTCACGTAGGTTTATAACGTTTTCTTGATGAAAATGAGAATGATGAACCAGCATTTATATTTATTTATTCTACCCACAATATATATACATGCGGTTTTCCATTATGTGATGCAAAGCAACAGCCAAAAAAGTCTACAAAAACCAAACAAAGCGAAGCCAACCAAAAGAGAATCAATTTAATTTTACAATATCCGCTTTATACCTGAAACCGACGACGTGACCAATTTACTCAAGTAACAAATATCCCTGTGTTATTTATTCGGCAACGAAATCAACATTCTCTTCGTAAACTTCTACAGAGAGACAACCATAATATTACTGAACATCTGTGTCCTTGTGGTAATAGACGTTTAGGAATAATTAAGTCATAATTTGATTTCTTTTTTTATGTCCTTTTTAGGTTTTGTTGATACTTTATTTAATGGGCTTGTCCGAGGAAAAGTTAGCAGGCAGTAAAAAATGTATTTTTTGGCTTTGGTGGGCGACGTGTATCTCACGGCCTTGAAAAGTTACTTGAGTGGGTATACACTTGATACCGATAAGAATTTTCTGGATTACTTTGACGTATTTGACTTTGTTCTCAATTTAAACATTTTCAAATTTTCATTTTATTTGTATTCCTACTGTAGGTTTCAAACCCAAACACATTTTTCTGTTCTATTAAGTTTAAAATTGATGCGTACAAAACTGCATAAATTTGAAATATGTGGGCTCACATCTACCCACTTAGAGATGTCTAGACAGTTTCCCTTTTTTGTGGGTCAAATTAAACACAAGTAAAAGAAAACACAATTTTTCTTCAGAAAATCAATTATTTTCTTGTGATTTTTGCAGTATCGTACAGCTGCAAGAAAAATCTGAAGTCATTGTTTTCTGAAAAAAACCGATGAGCTGGATAGAGAAATAAGTCTGTCTACCATAAAAAATTCTCAAATCCACTTCAACTGTTTTTCTGCGGAACATTTGCTTTGGGATAACAAGTAAACTCAGTGTTGTGATTGTAAGCTTGGCAAAAAGAGGGAATTTCAGAATTTTCCAGACAGAAACTTTTTTGCACACTTTCCACACAGTCCTCTTCCTGCGGCTCAATTAACATGCACCCAGAATGACATTTTCCGTCTTTTGTCTTCTCCATCGTCTAATCAGCGCCTTTGTTAGCACTTTCACTTGCACTGCCCTTTTCTGTTTTGAGGATCAGACAGATGCACTCTGCCTGAGGCATTTTCAATGACTCTTGAGAACACATGCCCTCAAAGGTGAAATTGCAGACCCATTTAGGGGATGTTGGTCCCCTTTGCCATAGACCAAACCATTTTTTGCCTATTTTGCACCTTCTGCCAGTGACTCAACTCGACTTTGGTGCTGCGAGTGAGACATTGTCAAAAATTCATAATTGAACACTTTCAGCCATCGACGGAGATGATGGAGCGGGAATATGCATGAGGATACGTACGTTGAGTGGATGTTGGCCGAGGGCTTTTACCGAAGAGCATTTGGCCAACTGAATATCTTCGTCGTTAATAATTCAAGAGCTTTTAATGCCATGAATATTCATCAAGTTTTGAGCATGATTTGATTTTATTGCGTATTTTCTATGACGCGGCAAAAATAGGGACTCCTTTTTGTTAAAGGGTTAACCAGCATGTTTCCCGCAAAAGTATAGAAATATTTAATATACAAAATGGCTTTTGGTTGGACAATCTTAACAATAAATTGCCACATTAAATGTGTATTAAAAAGTTGATTAATATACATATAAAAAACCAAGTTTTAAAAAGTAAAGAACGTCAAACATTTACCAGAGTGTAGGGACTGTATCGCTCCAGTCCCACTTTGGTTCTTTATTTGGAGTTGAATTCGGTGGTATTCGATCGCTGCCCTGATGTCCCCTGTAAACCCTGAGAATGAAATCAATGTGGCTGAGAACATCCGTGTAAACACTTGGCCTATTGCATTTGGTGTTGGTGATGGCAACTCCAATCTGAACAAAGCGATACGAGTTTTTGAACCTAATTATTGCACCCACAGGACCACCTGTGTCTCCTTTGCACAGATTGCTATTCCAATTTCCCGCACAGAACTGGTTGCTGGACACTGTGGCAGGTGTACACATTCTTGGCGACTGCCGCCAGATATCGAGCGTTCTTAGTTCACTGCTCTCCAAACTCTTCTCGGTCATTCCCCATCCAGTTCCGGTAAGAACTTGGATGCTGTCGATGATAGAACTCCACTTGGACTCCCAAACAATGCAGATGGGCCTGATATGGTCTGTAAATATTGCAGTTGTAATACAATTTTATATTTTACTTATATATTTTTTAGACTCCACATAATATTGTTTACACAACCCACCTGAATAAACCACTGTCTTAGTCAGTTTGATAATGGCTATGTCGTTAACATGCGTCTTTGGATCGTATAATCGGTGCTTAAAGACCTTTTCCACTTGATGCTCCTGTCGATAGGCATTTTTTTGCAATTTATTTAACTCTCCCAGTCGAACAGCTCTAAAAAAGAAATTAAAAATGTTTGTTGATTTAAAGAAATTAATAAATTTAATTTATTTTTGTCTTAAAACGATACTTACAGTGGAGTGTATGGAACCAGGCAATGTGCTGCTGTTAGTACCAGCCCTGTCGAAACGAATCATTTAAATTCTTGATATGGACATCATTTACAACCCACTTCTAATTAATATATTTATGGATATACGTACTGCTAGTTATTAAAGTTCCGCCGCAAATGAACTCGTTTTGAAAAGTGTGCAAAAAAGCCATCCAGGGACTCGAGTTACTATTCGCTATCCTGCCATTAACAACTCTTGCAAAACCACCGGATGAAGCTCGAATTCCACATTCCATGTCGAGAAATTGAGAGCATCCCGGGAGGGGAGAAAAAATCAACAGCAGAACGACAGAGATTGCGAATACTGCGATCTTCATTGCACGAATGACGACTGATTGTTCAAGAATGTTGACTTCATGCAGCTGAGCTTATCAAGTTTTTTATTCGAAGAACTTGTAATCAGCGAAATTTGTATACCCAAGAAAAAAATCAAACTAAGTTATGTTTGTTTCGATGAAAGCTGATAGCTTTCATTTGTTGTTAGGGTTTTCAACGATCTAACGTCTTCTAAATGAAATGCCATAAAAAAATATAACGAAGAAAGGGGAGCCAATCTAGGTCAGACAACCAGAAATACATTTCTGAAACACAATCCAACTTTCGAACAAAATGGGACAACCCTTGTACCTTTTTTTATGGCCACACGTGGCCGTCTGATTTGTCGTCACCTGGCCAACAATGTATAGTAGGTTTCTCTTTGGGCATTTCCATTCCCTTTTTCACTCCTTTCCAAGGCATTTTTTACTTTAAAAGTTTCCATTTTGGCGCCTCGTAAATATGGTCGAAAATGCAGCATAAAATACCACAGTTTTTATGGATTCGTTTTCATTGAGTGTGGGTGGCTCGTGTCTTCATCGATTTTACCAATATTCAGATCGTGATAAACAAACGAAAAAAGTGCTCCCTTAACCTCATTCGCGGCTAATCACTCTTATTACCTTGACTATCCAGTTCAGACCCATTAAACGGCTATTTGCTTATCAATGCCGGTTCAACTTATTGGAGTTTCCCTTTCCAATGGCCTCGTGACCCTTGACACTCACTCATCAATTTCTGACTGTTGTTTGACAATCTCAAATCATTTTAGACCGGCCTTTAAGCCCATCCATGCATAGACTACGTGAGTCAAGACAAAATGCCACCGAGTGGAATGCAAAGCAGGGAGGTTCGTCAAATGAAATCAAATGATTTGCCGTGCAACTGATTTATGTTTAATTTATAGAGCATACTCCATGGGGCAAGGCCTGACCGGCATGCAAATAAATTTCCAGCAGACCCAATCCGATGAAGACATAAACTCAAACTGACACAGAACGAAGCCAAAGCCGACTCTCAAACGTCACTGAGAAAATTTGGGAAAATGAGAGAAAAGTGGGACAAAAGAGCGCCAATTCAGCGATTCGTGGAGAGAAGCTGAATGCGGAGAGGCGGAAAATGTTGACCAAGTTTTCGCTTGCGGTAGGCCAAGGAAAACTCGGCTGGCGCCGAAGTCAATAACTGGAGCAACAGACAGGCCAACGGGAGCTAAATGCCGGCAAAAGGACTCTTAAGGACTCGCCGTATAAGAGAGCAGAGCCAAGAATATAAGAGAGAAATACTTTGGCATTATGGTATAAATTTATAACTCTTTTATCGTGAATTTCTTTTATTGCGCTAATTGAAATCAGTGGAATTTCGTTGTTTTTATGTTTAACCTACTTTTACTATTTAGGTAAAACGAAACAATAGTTATTGTATCTAAAAACTATACAATTTTAAGTTCATATGGATAGTTTAACCAACAATTTTATAGCTTTCAATTTTGCATGATTCCTACAATTGTAGAAATGCTGCCATAGTCTGAAATCGACTGACTTTTTTACCGCTCCCAGTGCAATGGAAAAATTAAAAATGGGGAATTCATCGGATCTAGTTCAAATAGCAATGTTTCCCCTCGCCCCAACCAAGCAGCATCCATTTCAAATAAAATACAAGAGTCGATGGCTGCGACGATTGGAAGGGGAAACTGTGGGGTGCAGCAAATCAACAGCGCCAAATTCAATTGCAAATAGTGAAACACATTGTTCTCGTGTCTCACTGTTTCGTTGACAATTTTTTAGTTTTTATTATTTCTCGCCTGGCTTCGGTGGAAGACAGCAAGAGTAAGAGTTGGAAGAGGAGCGTCGTCGACACTGTGGGAATTTATTGAAAATGCTTCGATTTATGTTTAGTGCGATATTTGCATTTTGGCTGACGAGCGCAACGGCGACAAATGCAGCAGAAATATGTTTTCAGCTATAAATGTGTTAGCGTTAGAGGGAAAACGTGGCGATTCGACAAGTGGTGGATGCCAGAAAGTAAATAGATGGGAGGTATGAGATGTCACTAGGGGAATACGATTGGTTGAGATAGCAGGATAGATACAACCTTGAGCTTCTCATTTCAAACAAAACACTTAGGTAGACGAACGCACTTTAATATAACCTGATAAAGAGAAAATTTATTGGTTTTAAATAACTGGTAAATAATTGTAAGTCGTTAAAGAAAAACAAATGTACTATTTTTACTATCTAGCTTAAATAAACCAAGTTACGAGGCAGGCAGCCTATATATAAAGGATATCTGGATCCAATTAAAATGTTTCAAAAAGGCGATGGAACGGCAGCATCCATAAAAAGCAATTCGACTTTGCGGCTTTTAGAACTGATTGTAAGAGAGGCCGCAAACAAATGAAGTTGTCACCAGTGGTTTCATACATATAGGCAGACCGCGAAAAGCCGCAAACGGAAAATTGAGCTGGCGAGTGAAAAAAAAATAGAAAACGGGAAAGGACTTGCAGGCACTGTCCAACTAACGAATAGTCTTTAATCTTCTTAAGTGAGACTGCCTCGCATTGGGCACAGCTGTTGTGCCAGTGGACGACTGTCATCAGAGGCGAATGTGAGTTGGTAATAAACCAGGCCAAGGAGCCAGCAAGTCAAGAAGCTTTATAACGCTCCTATTCCTCCTCAGATTCTTAAAACCTCTCCGCTTTAGACGGTTGAGCCAGCTTATTTTACGGATTGTGCTCGGCGAATTTAACTTATTTGATTGATTATCTCGAATTTGACCAACACTTTCGGGGAACTCTCTGGCTCTCCAATTGGGAATCATTAGACCTTCGTTCCCAAGCATATCGTGTTTCATTGAGTTTCTGCCAGCAAATTAGGGTGCAACTAAACTCATCAAAGATTCTAGCTTACCTTTACTTTATATGAGACTATGGTATACACTTTTTTACTTTAGGAGAACAGCTGGTTTTATTAAAATACTCCAATAAGCATTTGTCCTAAAATAAAAAATAAATATGCTAATAAAATAAAATAAAAAATAGTAGTTATTAATGTTTAACCGAAACCGAAACAATAGTTTTTTTTTTTATATGAAAGTAAGGTAAATAAATTCAGTAGCGTATCCTATTTTTAATTTACAATTTACACAGATTGTACTTTCGGTGAATTATTAATCCAGGACAACGGGTATATATGTAAATACTCTTTACCTATCCGACTTTCCCTTTTCCCGACATTAGTTTCGTCTCAAGTAGCGCGAGGGAGCAGGTCAGTGAATGTAATTACTTTAATGCGACCATTTGCCGCTTTAGTTGCTGCTGATGTAGCTGCTGCTGCTGCTGCGAGTTGCTGCTTTCCCCGAGATAAAGATAAACTTTTGCAATTACAAGAGGCGAGAGCGAACGAAGCAGAAACAAGCAATCGGCTAGGGGAATAAAGGCGCAACCCGATAGCATCGAATCGAGTTTACTTTTAGTGCGTTTCCCATTGGCATTGGCTAATTAGCTGTAACACCTCCTTTTCCGCCTTCAACTCAACGCTGCATTGGCCAAGTTAAAGACCAAACTCAACCTAAATTATGCCCACTTAAGTGGAGGGACTTTAAAAACTTTTGCCCAACTTGTAAGCGTTGAAAATTTCCCTGTTACCATATGCAAAGCAAGAAAAAAAAAACAGAAAACCAGGAAGCTGAGCGAAAAACTGTGCTGCGACTTAGGTGGGTCCACCTCAAAGAACTTTTGATGACTTTTTGAAAGTTTTACGCTTCACCAGAAGTAAAACGCAAATTACACGGACCAGTATTACTTATGGCCAACAATAATAAGAGCAAGAGCATCAACATCCGCAAGGAGCTACAGTAAAATATATAAAGTAGATTCCCCCGTATTCTCCCCTCGTCATATTTTGATGGTCGAGACTTTGAGACTTTTGACCGCCAACAAGTGAGTGCAACAAATGAGCCAAAATTGCGACTAATTGGGCCACATTCCGTAGTGGTTCTGTAATTAATGGGTCAATTGGATTATTCAGGAGTAAGGTTTTAAGTAGAGTAAAGTTTACTTGCAGCTAAAAGACTTTATTAATGGAAAGTAGCGGAAATAGTTGGAAGTTTTAAGTCGGGCAGTCGAGAAATGATTGGATGTGTACTACAAAATAATTCCTTGATACAGGGCTTAATAATTTAATAATTTAGTTCAAAATTAGTTTGTGTTATTTGTAATTTGATTTAATGTTTTCACAATTATTTAAATTCTAACTTCTGGAACACAAATACGTTGCGGTTTGTTTATTGTTTCAAAAAAAAACCTTGTTAAAATACAGCGTTAGTAAAGACAAATCCAGATATACGTCCTTGCATTCAATATTCCACCGGGGCTCTAATCCGCATTCCAAAAACCAACCGGTATACAGAAGATAAACCCTCACCGCAGAGTCACATGCAAAAATTCGTGGGCATTTCGCTGTTTTTTCTAGGTGGTCCTGCTGCCGCTGACCAACCAAACATTTTGTTTGTGCAAAAATTTTGTGTGATTTCCCCACGGAAATTGATGATGGTGTTTGCTGAGTCGCAAACGTGTTGGCGGAGTTAAGCGGGATGAGTTTGTGGGCCAGGGAATCGGTTCAGCGCCGGGCCCACCTACAGTGAATTTGTCATTTCCAGTTCTAAACGTGCGGACAAACACTGAATCAGTCGTGCCCGAGGGCTTGGGGTCTGGGGATCCGGGAATCCGGGAATCGCAAAAGGCCGAACAGCCCGGCCAGTCAGCCAGGAGATGGAACACGGAAACCCCGGCCATCCAAGCTGTGCCTGCTCAATGACGATTCACTGCGCGTTTCTTTTAGAGATGATAACGTGATGTGAACGGCGGAAAATTATGAATCGATTGTGATTTTAATTATGCTATAAGGAATCCAAGATCTGGATTTCCATTAATAAAGTAGAAAGTAAAATTAATACACATTTACTGTTGATCACATGCCTTTATATAAAATACTCTTTAAAATAAAAATAGTTATAATAAAAACAAGCTCCCAATTTAATTGCGTTTTTATCTTACCGAAAATATTTAGATTTTTATAACATTACCATAAAACTGCCTTACTCACGATCACTGGTGAATCACGCGTGAGTTCGACTCATATTTGTCCTTACTGTTGGCATGGTTGTCAGCAGCCATTCCAAAGGGCTTCGCTCGAGGACGAGAACAACGACGAGGACAAGAGCACGGTGCGTGTCGCTTTAACAAACCGGAAGTTACATGCGATGTAATGAAAAAGGACAGGGCGGAAGTCGCAGTGGGGTTCCCCGGCCCCAATCGCCGAGGGAGGCAAGTGGGCTCGGCTCGGAATCAGGACTGCGAGTACTATATGGTCTGGCCCCATCCGAATGAGTTTGCTTTAACTCTGCTGGTATTTATAGACAATTGGTTCGTGATTGTTGACAGCGCTCAGCGTCGCGCTGAACTCTCTACGGACCACTACCATCCACCATCGACCATCGACCATCGCCCATCGAGCATCGGCCATCGCCACTCGAATCGAATTGAGTCGGCTCGACTCTGCACTAGCAATTTTTTGCATGCCCCATAAAAATGGTACGAAATATGGTTGGCTGTGGGCTGGAGCGAGTTGGTACCAGATGAGTGGGTTTAAGTGAATGGGTGTGCACTGCATGCAGGAAATAGCGGCCTGTTTCCCATTTAGGCAATTGAGTTAGGCCCCACAGCCCGGGGATAAATCAGAGAAATCTGGCAGGAATTTTAGTTGAAAATTGTATATAAAACTCAACGTATTGGTTTGCTTCTGAACAAAGTTTATTTATAATTTAAATCTGTTGCAATAATTTAGGATTTAACATACCATTGTTCAAATGCAAATACAAATCAATTATTACATGTTGCTCAATCGGTACAAAACATAATTCAGAGAAGCTAAGCAAATACATTTAATCGTCATTAAAAAATAAATAATCCCATTGTTTAAAATGTGCAAAATACTACTCAGATGTAAGCACTTAAGTGTTATCCTGATTACCTCACTTAAGTCTGGATAACCTGCAGACCTTTCCATTCAATTTTTTTCAATTGCTGGGTTCGCTTGCTCCCCAAGTTCTTTGTTATTTTTCTGTTTGTTCTTCAATAGCTTTGTAAACAAAGCAAAGTGCAAATTTATGTGGTAAACCACTTGAAATCGAACATTTTTGCCATCGGAGGAGATGCCTGAATGCAAAGCTTTGATTGTTACTTAAAACGTATCTTGAACCGTATCTGTATCTCACTTTTTGCCCTCGCATCCGAATCCGAACCCGCAACTGTTGTGCAAATGTAAATGTTGGCAAAGTGGCAAGTCAGGTGGCTGGATGTTACTCTCTTCCATTCCATTAGCCTCAAGTTAAAGCTTTGCCAGAGCTGATGATTGTTAAAGTCGAAATTTGCATTTGAATCGGGGGCTAAAAGATTTACGTCGAATGGATTTGAAAGTGCGTTAAAATTGGGTTTAATATTCGGTTCTTCTGCTCGCTTTAATTCATGCATATATGTCTATATGTCGAAATATCCTGTCCCTCATCTCTCATTGTTGTTATTGTTTGGCCGAATCGGGGTTAATTCGATTATCGTCAATCGATGTGTGGTAGGTCTTAATTGATTTGAGCAAACGCTGCAAACGAGATTAATTGATGAGAGGGAAACCGAAGCCCAAATGGGCAATGCCAAAGCCCCCGAACAAAACGGACAATTCAAATTGTGTCTATGGCCCATTCGGAGCTCCATCCTAAATTGTGTTGTCGTTTTTACTGCAGCAGGTTGTGTGCACTCAAAATAATAGAGCAAAGCAAAGCGCAAATACGACAAAGGGACAAAACGCAAACTGAAAACTTGGAAGGACGATCCGAGGATCTCTGACTGCTACTGCAGCCGGTGTAATGGCAGCGTTTACTCAATTTTAGTACGTAGTAAACGTATTTCTTTTATGGCCCCGTAGGTTATTTGTGCATCGCTCTGACTCGCTGGCACGGTCTACATTCCGGGATGCGAGCGTACTCAGACAAACAATTCAGAAAAGATATATATCCCTGACACAATAAACGAAGTTCGTTTCCTGAGTGGCCATTTTACTGCGAGGCCTTTCAGTTGGAGTGCCCCATCTTGTCCCATCTCGCCCCATTCCCTCAATCCAGCATTCCACTCAACCCCTATCTTGGGGCCAGAACTAAGCAAATATTCGCACACAAATATGATGAAGTATCGGGGGACTGGGCGACTGGATGGTGGGTGGGTGTATATGTTTGTATTCCTGCTTCTGGTTTGCTTTTAATTGCTTTCAAGTAAACAGAATGCCCCTTGGTAAATGGGAACATAAATATAATTGCCAGGTTGGCTCGCATTGCCTTAAAATTTCCACTCTCGAGGCCATATGTGCCAGAGTCAAACATTTGAATGTCCAGCCTTCCTTCCATTTGCTGGTGGGTTCGCTTTTGTTTGGCACTGCCGAAGGTGTTATTTAATTTAATGCCATGATTTGACAGATTACATATTTACCACTCTGATTATTGTGGTCGCCGTTGCTGGGCCTTTTGATTTGACTACAAAACTGGTTAACACAATTACCAGAAAATCAGATTGGAAGCAAAACAATAATCAGAAATGATTTCATAGTTATATATTGTCATATATTTTATGAAAACTCAATTAATCTAGTCTGGATCTAATAGATGAGATAAGGTTATGGTTGCATCGATTCAAAATTTATTTGTAGCATTTAAATCTAAAATTTCGTTTAGTAAAACGTATTTCTGATATTATTATGTGCATATAATGCAAATCATTTATGTTGCATTGTGTTATTTACATAAATGCCAGCCCGCAGTGTGAATTAATTTTTTTTCACAGTTCTTTTTTTTTTTTTTGTTTTTGTTATTATATCGACTTTGGGAGAGGGTTGGTCAAGTGCCAGCTGCATTAGGCCATAAATTTGCCAAAAAGTAAACAGTAAACATTTTATTGTTGTTTTGCAGCGCCCAACCCTCCGGTTCGACTGTTTTAAATAATTATTTAACATTTTACATTGTTTAGCTCGCGTTTTCCGTGTCGCCATGCGGGTGTTTTCGATTCAGAGGGGCGGCTTTTGTTTGTTGTAAAGATTTGCACGATTTGCATTTGTGCCAAAACGATTCATGAATGATTCATGTGCGCCAGACCAGAAGCAGATGTCGACAATACTCATCCCACTTCGATTTATGCATCGGGCACGTGCCAACGGTTTGGCGCTGATGACGGTGGAGCTTTAAAAGGATTCCAAATGTCGGAAAAGAGGTAGGGATATGCGTACTTCTAAAATGAATTTAAAATTTCGATAATACCACTGAAATGTAATATATAAACTGGAATTTGTTGAATCCTATTCCAAAGCTTTGTAGGACATTTCAAATTACTGGATTAGTAAGATTTTAACGCAACATTGGGTTTGTTCATGTTGTATCTTTTTATATTTCTCAACAAGTCTGGCTTTTTACATCAAAAGACACACAACTAATTCAGCAGCCCACAAATCAGATGAAGAAAATGCCTGTAAGTTTTGTGTTAGCTATATATTTTTATTGGTTTTCATATTCATATTTCCCAGACTTCTACCAAAAAGTCTTTAAAGAACAATGAGGAAACCAAGCCAGCTACAAAATCTAACCAACAACCGATTTGCAAGGTAAGACATGGACTTAGTCGAAAGACAACAATTTTAGAACTAACTGAAAAGATGAAGAAGGTTCAGAAATACAGACAAGACGAGGATGAGAAAACGACCTGGATAAATGCCAATGGTCAACTGATTGGAATACAGAAAAAACACGTAACTAATTTGGGAATGGACGTGGACAACTTTTTTAAGTCAAAGGCAAAGAAAAGCCATCACTTGCACCAGACAGAGCCAAGCAACATAAACACTGCTCCAACACTGATGGAATCGAATGAAGTTGTGGATATACAGCACAAATCGAATGTTAATGCCAAAAGGAATATTTCTCTCGCAGAAGAAAACAAGCCCTTGCAGTCATACCCAATGGCCATGACACGGATTCCCAGTGGGTATTACAAGTGGAAAATTATCATGGATCCTCACATTGTTCAGCATATTGAGAATAACGTAGTGGAAACAATCAAGAGCTTTCCTCGGAGCCCCAAAGACTTAAGTATAAGCAAACCTGTGAATCCAAAATCGAAAAAGAAGATTTCGAAAACTTCGTTTGGCAGATTCAAAAAAAGGTCGAAAGAAGAGGAAGAAGAAGATTACGACGATCTAACTCTGTGCGAATTTGATGCTATCACGTCAGAAAATGATGCAGACTTATATGGCTGTGAAAAAAGTTTTAGCTCTGAGCCTCCGGAAACTCCGTCCCTGATGAGCTCGGAAAACCAAAGTGATTCTAATGAGAAATTAATCAATCTAGGTTTCGAACAACTGAATCAGGTAGTTCGTCAAAGTTTACAAGATTCAGGAAGAAATGATCACGATCTTAATGTTGCCGTTGTGGAGCCGCTAATCTCGAGATTTAATAGTCTCAATCCATCTTATCAGTCTAGTATTTCTCAACCGAGGAGATGGGCCACACCTTTCAGGCAACGCATTAACGATTTCTTTGTTGACGAACCGATACCCCAGAGGGCCGTTCGTCTGCCAAGAACTGCATTTGGACTGGGTGTTGGCAACTGCATTTTTCCATCGCAAACCTACAGATCCGGTCCAAGTCCAGGATTGAAAACTCCAACCAAAAATAAGAATTTATGTCGGGTGATGGCGCAACGCACCAAGATGTTGGCGGATCAAGCTCAGCGGCTAAAAGAGTTGTACGAAAATCAGCAGAAAGAAATGGAAGCCTTTTGCGCCAGTGAAAAAGCTAAGATTTCAGTCCAACATAGAGCTCATTGGACTGAAATAGTAATTGGAGCAAGGGTTTTTTTACTCTTCATGACGGCTTTTGCCGGTTTGTTTTTAGTTTTGTATCCGATATATTTTGAGGAACCTAGACCTCTAACGCTTTGGGAGAAAATATTGCTATTCCTTAGACTATATAATCCGTTTTACTAATGCGATCATATATTTTATATAATTTCCATTGTTACTATATTTTCTATTTAGAAACCATGCTATACAAAAGTCACAAAAAGATATTATGGCCCTTTATCATTAAAATATTATCATTTTCTTTAGATATAAATTTTAAAATTAAAAAAAATTAAAGTTTGTTATTGGTCAATATTTATTAGAAATCATTCTTCTCCAAATGTAAAATTATTTTGCGAATATTCGTTGGATTTGGCTGAAGCCCGAAAGTATTTGTAAGGATATTGTTTCCCAGGTTCCTGCAGCATCGCCAAACAATGCAAGCGTCTTAAAAACCAGCTATTTAAATATTTAGTACCAAGTCGATTACCCAGCCCACTCTTTATCCCAAGTTCCAGGAGTCGAGATGAAGATGGAGACTGAAGCAACAACAACCTGCCTGACAGCCAATCGCGCCAGTCAGCGTTAGCAAATGCAAATTTAATGGTCTATGAAAAAGGTAGCCGGGCAAATGCTTTTAACCACATCCGCTGCTATTAGTTCACCTGGAACCGTCGGAACCGTTGCTAAACAACAAGAGCGACGGATAACAATGGAAAATGATGCCAGTGGAAATGCGAAAATCAATGCGCATTAGTGGATGGTGTTATTTCATCTTATACTACCGGAGAATTGCCAATATCCCTCGCTTAACCTCACTTAAATTTTACATTAGCTGAGCGGATGCGAAAATGAAGCACCACCGCAAAAGTGTAGCAGTCGATTGAACACGGGAATAAGCCAAAGAATTTCTGAATATGCAATATCACGAATTTTGTGGATTTCTTAAGATATTTGCAGCTAGAATGATAGAAATTATCTGTTCAATTTAAATAAAATACTTAAAAACCTAAACGAACTTTTTTTATCATCAAAATTCTGTCCCTGATGTCTTTGACTGTTGATTTAATTGGTTGCAAGTATAGACAATATTTAGATTTTGAATTTTTTCATAGAACTGTTGAAGTAAAAGTGAATTACAGACAACCGTATAGGAGTAATGCCGACAAAGTAAAACGTTTGCGGTGGATTTGCTTTGTGCGCAGCAATCAAAGAGATAGATGTGCGTCTAACCGACATTTACGGTAATTGTACTGCTTATTGCCGCCCAGATCGCCAAACTGACAACAACCGCAGTCAAATATGAGCAATGGCCCGGATCACACGCTGCCAAACAAATGCTGACGAGGCGGAGAGCGTTCGTCAGCTGCAATCCGCAGAGGGGATTTGTGTGCGTCGCTTTTTCTTTTGGCATTTCCTGCCGTGTCCTGCCATCCGAACATGCAATCCAAAACACATAGATACAAGCACTCACTCACACACACACATTCGGCCAGGAACAACCACACACACACAAGCACTCATTGAGGGGCAATGCATTCAAGCGCAAATTAAGCTTGACAAGCAAAAATTAAACTGTGTATCTGTGTGTCGGGGTGGTGTATCTGCCGGATACATTCGGCTCTCACTGTGTGCCCACGTGTGTGTGTGTGTGTGTGTGTTGTGTACTGGCTCCATGCTTGTTGGGCAAAATATAATTTCTTCATGTTCAGTTCATTAAACAGAGCAAACCAACTTGGAAAAGCACTTACCATGAATAGATTTTAGGGGGCCCCAACTGCGATACAGTTCGGTTGACGGAAAGCCAACGAAGGCGAGACAAATGGTCCCCCCATTCAAATAAATATGCAAATCGCAGAATGGAAAGATACAAATGAATTTGATATATCACTGCAGTTCTTAATGAACTATTTGTGTTTGTCTCTCTTGCTTTTATTTGTTTTATTCGAAGATGCAAAATTGCTTGCTGCACAACTAGATTACGTTTTCAATTTATTAGTAGCAAATAATTTTAAAATATTTAAGGTTTATCAATACTAGCTTAAAAGATGTTTAGGTTAATTTCTTTCTTTTTATACCCTTGCCGAATCTATTAAAATTTCAGTCACTGATCCTTCAGTTAGTTGATAAAAACCTTGCCAAATCTAGCCTACTTTCTTGTTTATTAATAGTTTTCACCGTCAGTTCGCAGTCCGCAGTTCGCAAAACGAAGGCAAACTAGGATAATAAAAATAAACATAAAAATGCGTTGACCATTTATATTGCGAGCTCATTAAGTTAGAACGCAGATAAAACGTTGCCCAAATAACTTAAAACAAAGCAGACGTAAATTCATCATGCCAAAAAAAGGCTCTGCAGTGGAGTATAATCATCGATTTTTGTTGGTCGGGGAAATGACAACGCAAAAGCCATTGTACCGAGTTAGTGGCGTCAAATCACTTAAACGAAACCCAAACAAAGGCCAAATCGCCGGCAAAAAATCTCAAAACCGGATTGGCATGGCCGAAAGCAATTCCCCACGATGACAGCCACAAAATGACGAACTCTGTTTTTGAGGTCGGTTCTGAAATCAGAGACTTCTTGCACATAATGTGCGTAGCTATATATACTTGTATATTTATGTTTCTTATTTCAGCAATTTGATACTGAGTAGCATTAACTTTGACATTCGCTGATTATGACTCTTGAGAGATTTTTCCCTCGCCCTTTTTTGCTCTCCATGACTTTTGCACTTTGGCAAAGTTGATGAAATTAATATTAGGCTGTGCTCAGGATGCTCTCAGCAGAAGTTGCAAGCTCATTCATTGCCTTCTTATCAGTGGCAAGCTATTGATAGCCAAAAAACTCAACGCTGAGTGCATGACTCCGAGGGCGTAAAAATAACAGATGACGTAGGATGGTTATTTATGGTTACTCTTTACTTTCTGATTAAATAGTTTATGTGGGAGAATACATCAAATTATTACTTGCCAGTATCTAATTTCTAATTTGCTTTGCATCTATATTACTTGCTAATACTAGCCTCTGCTTGAAGATGAAAACCTATTAATAATTCTTCGATTTGGTACTCACCTCAATTTCAAATTATGTGCGCCCCATTCGAGATGCCTGAATCGCAATGGCCTGATTACACCAAGACAAATAAAAAAATCCTCATTTGGCAATGTGGCTCTGTAAATACTCACTAGACAAATGCCATCTATATGCAATCAGCAAATATGTGCTCAAAGAACCCGAGCCCAGCGCTATAAAGCCCTTAACGAAAGCATCTCCCCATCTTGTCAATGCATTATGCAGGCACTTTTGCAGGCAAGTGGAAATTATGTCAAAACAAAACGTGCAAGTCAAGTCACTCGTTAGTCTGAGAGGCATTTCAATTAAAGGCTCGCAATGTGGAAGATGGCAAGGGAACACATCCTGAAAAATATACAGAAATGAGGATTGCGAGCACAAAAGTTCAACTAATACGATATGCAACGGCTGAGGAGTAAAATGTTCAGATGGGCGGGGCGAGGACCAAAAAAAAAAGGGGGGTAACCCGCCTCAAAGTCGTCAGAGCTGCTATTTATCAGGAATTCGCAATCTGTGAATCTCAGTGCTGAACGATCACTCTGTAATTACTAGACGATATTAGCGAAGCAATCATGAAATTCTGTAATATGGTTTTGGGCATTCAAAGTGCTAAAATTTTTATTTATTGTTTTTTTTTTCTTAAAGTAAAAATATTGATGTATTTTGATCTTTTATATCTTTAGTTTTTATAAACGACATTTATAAACACCAAAGCTTTATCTTTTAAATAGTGATCTTACCCTTTAACTAGTACATCTTAATTTTAATCCCTAAGTGTTATCAATACTTTTATACGTTCATAAATCGGTTCACCGAAAAAAATGTTCATAAGAAGGGTATGTTCCAACAGATATAAATTCTGCAGATTCTGCAGAATCCTCGCCTTGCTCCGCATTCAAATGTCTTTCTTTCAGTTTTTCTGTGCATATGTCTGGGCAGCATTTGTAAGGATTTTCCATGTCTTCCTTTCTTTTCGAATGCAACTGTGGGGGTGTGTGCTTTGCGAGTCGACTTTATTCATTCATTCAAAAAAAGTTAATTCATAAATCGCACAAAGCGCGCTGATACGAAAGACGCACACATGCCAACCCTTATTGCTCTGCATCCCCATGCAAAATGCATTTAGTCGGTGGGTCGACGAGATGGGGCAGGTTAGATGCGCCACTTGCCCCACTCCTCCCTTTGGCTCCTGTTCAAATAAAAGATTTCTATCAGGTGGCTCTTATGGCGCATAAAAGTACTTAAATTTGTTTGACTTTTGGCCAGATATGAACGGTGGCTTGGAATGGTGAGGGGAGGGAAGGGGCGTGGTCGGTTGTTTCGCCTCGTTATGCGAAATTGCTAAGGCAACTCACGACCCTCACAACTTGTTTAATTTTTCACCCATCACCAAGCTTGGCGACAGAAGCGTTTTGTTTGCGAATGCGTTTAGCTAGATTGCTGCGTTACGATATGGGATATGGTTACTAAATCAGAAATGTATATAGGGAGAAATCTCTACGACATTATCGAGGGTTGGCGCAGGGATGTTTTGCTATTAGAGGTTTTCAGAGAAACCTAATCAGCTTGGGAAGATCTACGTTTGTCCCCGACTCTTTGTTGAAATAAAACAAAAGTTTTATCAGTGGTGTTTAAAAATACTTTGAAATAACTTTAATTTGTTAAATTATTCTACTATGAATAGTTTCATATTTTATATATAAATATAACATAAGAATATCCTATCGGGTACTCTAAAATACCTCTTCTTTCGATTTCATTCCTGTAGACTCTCGAGCATTAAAAATACTTTATTTAAATACCAAGCGAGTTTGCTAATAATTTCTTTTCTATAAAAGTTGAGATCAACTTGGTGCTGTTAGTCGTATGCAACTTCGGGATTGGTTCGAGCATTAAGTGCACCTGGAGTCAAACATTACGAGTGACCCACGTTGACCCCACCTGCCGGCAGTCAGCCATGAAATTGAACGCCTCCTTGGCGGCATTTTCAATCAGTGGGCGCGGCGAAAGGAGCGTGGCTAAACACCCGTGAAATGGTGACAAAACCCGCCTCAACTTCACCGAATGCACTCGGCGCACATGTGACTTTATCAAGTTCTGTAAACTGCTTATTTCTTACCACTTCAGAGCCATCTCAAGTGCTACGGATGGGGGGAAGTCTAAAAGGGCTTTAACGGGGCTGATGTGGCTGATGGGACGGTGGTGGTATGGGCATGGTAAAGAGACGCATCGACAACAACAACAACAACAACAAAAACAACAACAGGAATAAGAACAACAGCAGCGACACTTGAGGCAGACAACAAAATGGCGCAAACGCTTCCTTTTGTTGGGCGCAAAACTTAAGGCTTAAGCCTTTCTGGAGAGCCAGTGCCTGAGGAGGCAGTACGTGATTTTATCAAAGGGAAAGCGAAATGGGGATCTGAGCCACCCACCAGTGAAACCACCCACCGCGAGCACCGCCACCGCCCCATTGCCCCCCTTTGCCTTCTTGACACCCTTGGGCTGCGTCAAAATATGCCGCAATCAGGCTGCAAAACATTTTCATTTATATTTAAATACAAAAAAATCGCAAAAGAAAAGGCGGAGCAGTAGGGAGGAATCGGGGATTCGGGAATGTGGGATCCGGAATGGTAAAGTGGGTGAAAGTGTGTGGAGTGGGGAGGGGGGAGGTAAAGGAAACGGAAACGCGTTTTCGATTATGTTTAGCCGCTTTTCGGGCAGCTTATCGACGCCGACGCATATGGGCGGCCCTCCCTGCATTCCATATTTATTGCGGACCATGATTTATTATAATTTTATGCATGAATCTCGTTTCGACATTCCTGTCCGTGGGTGTGTGAGTGTATGTGCGTGTGTGTGGGTTTGTGGGAGTCCTGCATAGTGGGCATGGCTCCACTACAGGTAAAATGAGTCCGATCGATTACGCATCCTAATATCTA